ATATCATTAAATATTTTTAGATTTGTAATTTTTAAAAAGTTTATATTAAATAAATAATCAATTCAAATTAATATAAAATATTTTTAGATAAAAATATTTTAATAATTACAATCATTAAAGAAAAGGAAAAGAAATAATTTATATAAAAATTAATCCTTTTTATTTTCTTTTGGATCGGTTCACTAGTTACTATAACTAAAATTATGAAATATATTCAAATCAAATTATCAAACTTATTTTGCATATTCTATTGATAGCTTATAGTTCAAACATAATTTCTACGTTAATCTTAACCAACAAATAATCATGAAATCTCAGCATTTTCCCTCACTATTATGTTCCTTTAATTAACCGCCTATCATTAGTACTGCAAGATTCAACTAACATATATGTGATATTTTATTATTTATTTTCTACATTAAAAATTAATATTCCAATAAGGGTAAAAATAATTATTCAAAATAAAAAGTTTTCTTAGTTAATTATGCAACAATGATTTAGGTATTTCTCAAACGGATTTATATATATAATTATTTTAAATATGAAGTATACAATTCGGATTTAAATAATAAACTTAACAAAATTTTATTTATACATAACACAATATGATTTTACTATCTATATAATATATAATTAAAATGGAGAAGATAATTTAATTGAATGAATGATTAATTTTCGATAAGATAAATAACATTTTAAATCAACTATGTTTTAATTAATCGAAAAAGTTCTTCAGTATAAACATAAATCTTAAAATTATAAATTTTACATTGATATTTACAGATATTAATTTAATTTATTTAAAAATTCCGCTCATTTTATTTTACTAAATTTAACTAATTAGTTGTTATTTGAATTATTTAACAGTAAATTATTATTTATTTTTTTAATAGAAAATATTACAACTATCTACTTTATTATATTTTTAATTTCCAAAAGAATCAAAAAAATATTTATAAATTTTTTTTTTCTTAAATAAACATATTGTTACTAATTAAATTTTGTTCTAATATATAGAGATTAAAATTTTTAAAATCAGTAAATTAAAACATATAAAAACAAAAATGCTTTATGAATAAATAATTCAAAAGATCATAATTAATCGAAAAGTATAAAAATACATCAATAATGCTATTAGAAATAATATCAGAGAATGAATTGACAGTTGAGATAATTATATTTAAATTTTTTGATAGAATCAACTTCTTGACCTACTTTTTTTTCTAGAATTGGATTTCCAAAATCCTTGATGTTTTGAAAAAGGTTCAGAACTAGATTCATTTTGATTTTTTAATTTTCTTTTTTTTAAATTATGAGGCTTTCTTCTTCTCTGTGATCCTGAATCGGAACTTCTACTCCTACTTCTATATCTTCTTCTTTATCTATTTTTGTTTGGCTTTCTTCTTGAATAATCTGAGTCAGAACTTAAGGAATAGCTTCTTCTTGATGAAGCAGAATCACTTGATTTCAGACTCATACTTAAGTCTAACTTTCCATTTCTTAAATTTTTCATTTATAATTCTTCTGAAGAACACCATTCCTCAGAATTACCTATTATTATAATATAAATTAGTACTTATAGATCTTTGTCGTTTAATGTGTTTTTTTTGCTTATGTAACATCAAGGCTTCACCTCCTTTTTCATATTATCTTGGTTAACAAATGGCTTTTATTTTTGTTAAATCTTTTATAACAAGAAGTAATTGTTTTTCATTTTAAAAAGATGATCCTTCTATTTCATCAATCATTTTATTCAGTAATTACTAAGCTTAATCATATTTTCTCTAATTAGCATATTCTTTTGCTTATCCAATTATGTCTCCAGCTTTTCCCCTTAAATAATTAACTTCTACTAACTAATTTGGTTCAACTACAACTTACTGATTACTAAATTGTAATGTTAGTTTAACTTCCTTTGAAAATTCTGAATTAATTTCAATTAGTAATCCTTATAATGTAACTAATAAAATATCAGCAATATCAGTAACTTATGTATTTTTCTAAGGTATTTCAATCTCTAAAGCAAATTCCTTTTGGTCTTGCTGAATGATATAATTTAAATTCAATTGAAATTCTGTTTCATTTACTTTTTACCATAAAATATCATCCCCAAATATCTTANATATTTATAAATTTTTTTTTTCTTAAATAAACATATTGTTACTAATTAAATTTTGTTCTAATATATAGAGATTAAAATTTTTAAAATCAGTAAATTAAAACATATAAAAACAAAAATGCTTTATGAATAAATAATTCAAAAGATCATAATTAATCGAAAAGTATAAAAATACATCAATAATGCTATTAGAAATAATATCAGAGAATGAATTGACAGTTGAGATAATTATATTTAAATTTTTTGATAGAATCAACTTCTTGACCTACTTTTTTTTCTAGAATTGGATTTCCAAAATCCTTGATGTTTTGAAAAAGGTTCAGAACTAGATTCATTTTGATTTTTTAATTTTCTTTTTTTTAAATTATGAGGCTTTCTTCTTCTCTGTGATCCTGAATCGGAACTTCTACTCCTACTTCTATATCTTCTTCTTTATCTATTTTTGTTTGGCTTTCTTCTTGAATAATCTGAGTCAGAACTTAAGGAATAGCTTCTTCTTGATGAAGCAGAATCACTTGATTTCAGACTCATACTTAAGTCTAACTTTCCATTTCTTAAATTTTTCATTTATAATTCTTCTGAAGAACACCATTCCTCAGAATTACCTATTATTATAATATAAATTAGTACTTATAGATCTTTGTCGTTTAATGTGTTTTTTTTGCTTATGTAACATCAAGGCTTCACCTCCTTTTTCATATTATCTTGGTTAACAAATGGCTTTTATTTTTGTTAAATCTTTTATAACAAGAAGTAATTGTTTTTCATTTTAAAAAGATGATCCTTCTATTTCATCAATCATTTTATTCAGTAATTACTAAGCTTAATCATATTTTCTCTAATTAGCATATTCTTTTGCTTATCCAATTATGTCTCCAGCTTTTCCCCTTAAATAATTAACTTCTACTAACTAATTTGGTTCAACTACAACTTACTGATTACTAAATTGTAATGTTAGTTTAACTTCCTTTGAAAATTCTGAATTAATTTCAATTAGTAATCCTTATAATGTAACTAATAAAATATCAGCAATATCAGTAACTTATGTATTTTTCTAAGGTATTTCAATCTCTAAAGCAAATTCCTTTTGGTCTTGCTGAATGATATAATTTAAATTCAATTGAAATTCTGTTTCATTTACTTTTTACCATAAAATATCATCCCCAAATATCTTATTTATTTTGAAATGTTCATTCAGCTATTTTAAATTTAACACTGCATTCTAAGCCTTTATAGATGACATACCACTAATAGCTAAAATGAAACGTTCAGATACTTATTAAAAGTTATCAATAAATATAAATTAACCTCCTTTCAGGTTTGAAATATTATTCATGACTTTTGGATCATGATCAGCTCCATATCCAAAAGTATTAATTGTAAATATATCTTATATCTTATATTCAATCAAAGCCGATTTACATCTTAAATCTGCACCTTTGTCATCATCAACACCGTCACTTAAGAGAAACATGCTTGTTACTTAATTCTTATATTTTCTATCTCGTATCATTCTTAAACCTAATTCAAAGCCTAAGGCAATTTTTGTAGAATCTCTAATTTTCATATTGTTGATAGCTTTCTTTATTTTATCTTTATTTTTAGGTATATTTCTTGTCCATGACAAATTAATAAAAGCCTAACTAGCAAAAGTTACTAGAGCAATCCTATCATTTGGTTGTAAAATTTTTTAAATATATTGAATAGAATTTTAAACTAATTTGAGTTTTTCACCTTCCATGGAACCACTAACATCAATCACACAAATAAGATCTAAGTTGGCTCTTGTTTATTGAATTGAGGCCTTTATAGATTATAGCTGGACAACTACTGGCAAAATTTGACAATAGTCCTTCAATTATATTTGATTTTATCTTGGGAAAATATTTAGTTAAATAGTATTTTTATATTCTTCTTTCTTAGCATCTATATCAAAATTTTCTTATTCTTTAATATCTTTCTACTATTCGAACACTTAATCTTCTATTTCTATAGCTTAATCTTCTCTTAATAGATAATTTTAGTCTTCGTTCTTTGGGATATTGTGGATCTACCTCTAAAAGAACTATTAATCAAGCACTCTCTCTTAACTTGAGTCAGAATTAGAAATGCTTCTACCTTTTCTTTATTTCTATTTTTTCATTATTATATTTACTTTAGTTAATTTAAATTATAAAGTCATTGCATCTGATGAAATACTAAAACTCAATAAAAATCTTATTTTATTTTTAAAAATAAATTATGATTTTTTAATACCTATTTATATCTCATAATTATACAATAAAACTTTAATGCTTTTAATCATTCATAGTAATTTGAAATAAGGATAGAGGGATTTAGGGTTTTTTCCTTTAAATGAATCTGAAAGAGTGGGTAAATCTTTAAACAGTTTTTGGTGCTAGAGCATAATAGTTTTGATAAAATAAATATTTAAATAAAAACAAATTTATTAGATCAACATGAATTATTATATTAAAATACATTTTAAGTTAATATATTATTAGAGATTGATGAAATAAAAAACAATTAAAATTTAAATATAAATACTTATTTAATAATATTAGCTCTATAATTTTGTAAATAGTTTATTGCTTTAAAAAAGAATAATTGTTTTCCTGGCATAAATCATTTGGTAAATCAAAAAATTGTTTAAATGTACAATGAAAACAAAAATTACTATTTTGTTTACTTAAATGAATGTGAAAAATTTGCAGATCAATTTTTATAAAAAAAGCTTAGTGAGACAGACCATAATGTTGATTTGATAATAAGTTTCATAAAATCAATATTTTTTGTTTCAATTACAGGAATAAAATAATCATATATTTTGATTTTTGTAAGATAAAAGAAAAAAATCATAAAGCTTTATCGATTCTCAAATATCATTTCCAAATCGAAAATCCTAAAATTACATCAACAATATCTTAATTCTTTAATATTAATATGATATTTATTAATCTAGTTACAATCTAAATTGAATAACCAAAATTAGCTTTTATTCATTATTAAACAAATTTGAAATCATTGTTTAATAATAAATCCATCGCTGGAATTTATTAATTCTTTTTCTAAAATAGATTTATTTAGATTGGGATGAAAAATATCAATCTAGAATTGACTGTTTGTAATGGATAAAGATTATATTTACCTGAACTAATCGATTAATAAGCAAAAATTAGAGTTTTTTTATTATGTAATCCTATTTCCATATGACCTGAGATAAAGAAGGATATCATCTACTCTAAAATATTAAAAATGATAATTTATTGATTAGCAATAATGCTTTCAATTTAGTTATTAGTAATCCGAAATATGAATTTAAATAATAAATATCACAATGTATTTGTAATTCGTATAACGTTAAGATAGATAATCTACAAAAAGTAGATGAACTATTTATTTAAGATTTCTTATGATAATATATTTATGAAAAACTATAATTCTATTCCTATATTGAATTTATATAATACTTAATCTGATTATAAATTTTTAATATTATTTTTTATGATTGAAAGTACAAATAATGATTTTCAAGAAACTTAGAAATACCATATAAAATTATTTATGGATTTGAGCAATTTAGATTTTACCATTCCAAATAAGGATTCTAATGTCTTATAATAATAATAGATCAAAATTGCAATCACTGAATTGAAGAATAATACATTATCGATGATCAATAACTTACAAGATTAATATCATCATCTATAGATTACAATTGAACATATTACTCAATTATTAAGTGATAACATAATTAGATTAAATGAAATCATTTCCAGTCTAGAAAACAATGTTTTAGAAGATAATTTGTTGTCATAAATAGTAGAATGTTATAATTACTAAAAAAATTAGAGCTTAATATCACAAGAAAATAAATTTGGTATTTATGAAAAAATATTATTAGGATAAGGATTATTCAAAGCATATGAATTACTTAATGCTTTGGAAAATCTAAATAATAATTAATTTTATTGTTTAGAACATAAAAAATATAATAATATTTTTAAAAAAGGTACTCGAATTTAAAAATTTTAGAGATTGAACTATTAAATAATAAAAAATGGGAAGAAGCACATATGATTTTAGAAAAAAGAATTATCTAAATTAAGAATATACTTTCCTATGCTTAATATTTTAATAGTATACTATCGATTTATTTAGGTATGTCCTTAATGGAATTAAATTAACCAGGCAAAGGAATTAAACTAAAAGAAAAATCTTAAAAGAATAACGGAAATTTAATTGAAGATATATCTAAAGAAACTGATTAATTTTTAGAGTATAATAACTCCAATAAATTTATCAATTTATTCATTAAATGTAGAATAGAAAATTTAATATAAAGGTTTGACTCTAGAGGATCAAAACAATTTTGAATTAGCAATTCAGATTTCTGATTAGATCTTATAATTAGACTAACTTAATATTCAAGCATTATATAAAAAATGTTAATTTAAAATTAAATAATAGCAAAGTTTTTAGTAAATTTGGAATAGACATAAAAAGCAATACCGTTGATAGATCAAGTTTTACAAATCAATCCCAACTATGTGCTTGCTATTAATTTAAAAGGTATTTGAATTTATATAAATTATAAGGAGTAATCTTAGAAAAACAACGATGCTTTGAAGAATCAATTTAATATTTTGATAAGGCATTTAATATTGATAACTCTTTTGTAACAGCTTTATTTAATAAAGGTAGAAATTATAATTTAGTTAGGTGGGTGCTTATAAGATTTGGAAAATAATAATGAAGCTATTAAATGTTATGATTTGTTAATTAAAATTAATCCAAAAAATTATTTAGCACATTATAATAGAAGTTCATAAATAGTTCAAATATATAGGCATAACTTTAGTTGATCTTTAAAGATATGAGGAGGCTCTAACTAGTTATGATCAAACCATCTTTTTAAATCCTAATTATTTATCTGCATATTATAATAAGGGTATAATTTGATTGTAATTAGGGATTGTTTTAAACTCACTTAAGAGAAATAAGGAAGCAATTTTGTGTTTTGATAAGGTTATTTCTGTTGAACCCAATCATGCTAAATCATATTTAAATAAAGGTATGATGATTGCTTCTCTAAGGCTATTCATTATCTGATCTTGGTTAATTCAATGAGGCTTTGGAACATTATGAAAAAGCAATATAAATTGATCCTTTGTTCTTAGAAGCGTATTACAACAAAGGTATATGTTATTTCCATTACTTTAGGAATTTTGTTTGATGATTTGAAAAAATATGAAGATGCAATTAGATGTTATGATGAAGTTATTAAACTTGATCCAAATGATTCTTAATCTTATTATAATAAAGGTCTAATAAATAAAAGATTATAATAGCTATTTCTTTACAAAACTTGAAAAGAGACGAAGAAGCTATATTGTGTTATGATATGGCTATAAAATTAAATCCATCATATGATAATGCTTACAATAATAAAGGTTTTCTTTAATTTAGATTTATAGGGCTTTTACTAGAAAAACTTGGCAAGAAAAAATAAGCAATCTAAAATTACAAAGCAGCAATAAAAAAATGTATAAAAGACTAAACTATTTTTTCGAAACGAATAAAGAGATTAAAAAACAAATAGTGACTAAATTTATTATAAAATTATACCTTTAAACTATTTCTGCATCACTATTAAATTGTTTTTATATTCATTAAACACCTCATAAAATATTCTAATCAAATGTTAGAAAACTCTAAAATAATGATTTTAGGTATTTTGAGTAATTTTACATAAAGATTCATTATACATTTTATTGTTATTGGTAGAATATTCTTAAAAAAAACAAATAACAACAAAATATTTGAAAAAAATAATTGATGAATATAATATGGGTTGTTGTTTCAAAAAAAAAAAAAATTTGTTTTTTTCAACTGATTTTTTTTCACCAAACTTAGTAAGTAATGTTTAAATATGAAAGTTCTTTCTTTAATCTAATTAATTGAATAACCAAATATTTAAGTAGCAACTTAAGGCTAGTTATAAATAAAAATTCTCCCATTTGACTTTATCATTCCTTTAGCTGATCTGAAACTTTTCTCACAAAGAACTAAAAGAATTTATTGGCCTGTTGACATGCGTAATCTTTATTAAACATTAAAATCTAATTTAATCAATATAGTAAATTATTTATTGTAGATTTAGTTTAATATTAATTTAATATAATAATCTAATGTTATCTCTTACAAATATAAAGGTAAATAAAAAATTTGATAAATTAATAAATTTACAATTCATACATCAGTTTATTATATATTGATGGAGAAGAGTAATGTTATATCGGTATCATTTTTATAAATGCTTACTGGAAATAGGATTTCAAGCTTTATTATCTAATCTAATAGATCTTATAATTCTTTTGATAACATTCCTTATAGAGTATTTTTTAATTTTGTTATATTGCTTTATAACACCTACATTTTGATTTTGCTCATCAAAGCTTCTTAAAAAAATAAAAAATCTTTATGAGAGGTTTTATTTATAAATTTTGAATGAAGGATATTAGAAAATAATTAAAATTATTTATTGAATTTATGATATTCTTCCTAGATTTATTTTTCTAAATATTTGTATTTTGGAACATCTTCTGTTGAAAAGTTTTTAATTGCATTTTAAACTTCACGTAATTTATCAATTAATATTAAGATATCATTTTCCTATAATGTATTTGGATGCATTTCGAAAGGACGAATATAAATCAAAGCAAGTGCATATTGTAATTAATAAAATGCAATTAAATACACATTCAATTTTAATTATTAAAAATTCTCATCATTATTAATTTTATTGATAAAATAATGACAAAGTTTGAATCTATTATAAAATAATTCCAATAATCTCTGTAATCGCTTTAATCTTGATAAAATTGAAGTTACTCTTCTTTTTTTTAAATATTAGGATTTATCATAAAGTTTTTCGCTTTAAAAGTTTGTACTCTCATTATTAAACAACACAGTATCTTCTATACCTCGAGCTTTCATTACAGAGTGGTGCATTATATCTTAAAACTAAATTCTTTCTTCCTCTCTGTATACAATCATTCTCTCAATTAAATTATTCAATATATCCCCTTTATTATATGGAAGAGGAGGAGCTTAAAACCTATTGGTTTTTAGATTTTAGAAACTTTAATATCTTTTTTAAATGGAACTACAATCGTAAGGTAGTTAGGATTTATGACATATCTAATAAAATAAAATTGAAAGTGAATAAATATCACTTTTTTCTGTAGCTATTTGATTGTCAAAAATTTGAGGTGCTGAATAATTTGAAGTTCCTGTTCTAATCAAATCATTTTTCTTTGTAAGTTCTTTAATCAATCTTCCAATACCAAAGTCTGAAATCTTAGATAAGAATTTTTAGTTTATACTTTATATATTTTTCTCTCATTTACTTGTCCTTTATTTTCATATTTAACTAGTATATTCTCCGGCTTAATATTTTAATGTATTATTTTGTAATTATGTAATGAATGATAACCTGTTATTATTTATTGTATCAAATCAAAAACTTATTCCTCAGTATACCATTCATTATTTTCTATCATTTAATCAAATTCTATTTATAAGTCCTCATCACATTTTTCCATTACAATATATAAAAAGTAACCTTCATAAAAAATGTCAAATATTTATATCAAATTGATTTAATAGGGGTTATTTTTGTCTAATTCAGATATTGTTGTTTTAATAATATCCTCAATTTCACTTTTTTGGGCTATGTCTTGATTTTCTTAATATATATGAATGATTTTAACACAATAAATTGTTGGATCTGTATTATCAATCTTTCGACATGAATATACTTACCCAAAGCAACCTTCTCCATAATATTCATCTTTTAGTATTATATAAATATCCTTAAACTGAGATTGGTTCGATAAAGAAGTCCAACTCATACTTTATAGCTTAATTAATTTCTTAATTCTATTAAGTTATAGACAGTGATAAAAATTATAAATAATATCTTAATGTATTTGAGAAAAAAATTTTACTTTTTGATTTTTAAGTAGAATAGTGCTTCCTTTCTTATATATAATGGACTTTAGTTCATTCTCTTAAATATTCAAAGCATTCAAACAATCCTTTATATTATTGAATCTTTATACCTTATTAGTTAGTTATAAGGTAGGAAAGGGCATTTCAAAATGCGAATTTATTTGAATAATTCTCTCCCAACTCAGATCAATTAAAGTAACATTAAAAGATTATTCGAATATTAGTTAAAATAAAAAAAGAAAGGGTTATGATAAGCAATTCTAAATTTAGGACTTTTAACCATTTATCTTCTATTACATCAATGGATTAAACCCCTGTTTAGAGATTTGCAATCAAAAAATAATTCAAAAATTCAGTTAGTTTAAATTTAAGTAAGTTACCTAATTTAACCAGATTCCTGTAAAATCAAGCAATCAATTAATTATATTTTTAAGTAATTTTTAAGAATGTATACTGACATGATAATATTTAAGAATTTAATCTTATTGATAAATATGTAATTCTGAATTAAGAGAGTTTGAAGTTATTTAAAGCAAATAAATCAAAATATCATTAGTTTGGTATTCTGATAATTGAACTTTACAATTTATATATTTATATATTAACTATACGATAATTATAAAGATTGATAATTACTTAATAATTGATAATCGATGTATTCTTTTTTTTCCAATTGATAACTTAAAGTCAAAATTAAATCTATAATTATAAATGAATTTCACAATCAATTTAATAATTTATTAATCAACTAGGGACAGTTCTAAAATTCTTTTTCAAATATAATAGAGAATCAATTCTTTAACTATCTCTATTAATTTGATAAAGGATAATTAAGCTATTCAGTAGACGTATTATCATAACTGTACAAAAAGGAGTAACAATACACTACACAAAATATATAGCTTATAGTAGTTTTATCACTTTAATTTTTGATTCTATCCAAATCTTATTGTTTTTACAATTACTAAGTTTTAGATATCATTTCACTATATTTTTTAACTTAAAGTTCGTTAAATAACCACATAGTTTTCTTTCAATATTTACCAACCAGATCTAATATTATTCTATTAGTCCATCATATATTATTACATATTAATGAAAGATTATTCAATAAATAATTTCACATAGAATTACTCTTACATCTTTCCTTCTGGCAATCACTCAGTAATTTTCTAATTCATCACTTAAACCTCAACTTTAGGATTTAAAATTTCTTTTCAGTTCATTAGTAAAGGATTATTCCATACTTGAGATTTAAAGGGTTCCACTTATTGATTTATATGTATTTAAACTAGGCTTCTTGCTTAATCTAATTCAATTATTGCTTTTATAAATAGTTATTTATGATCGATCTAAATATCAATTATACATTTAGGGTAATATCATATTAAATGACTGATTATTACTTATTACTTTGAATTTTAATTTAAATAATTTTAAAGAACTTATTATCAAATTTTCCATTCATACTAACCTATCATTATTATCCTTGAATAGTATCTTATCATTATAAATAAATAAAAAGATGAAGTGATCTGATAATTTTCATCTTCTGCTTTATGCAAAAATAGATTAATTAAATTAATTAAGAGTTCTAAATATTTTTATGTAAAAATATTACTAGCATAAGATCCTATAAATAGAAACCTTTTTAAGCTTATTCATTATTTTGTCCTAGGGGAGGATCATAAATATGGAAAAGAAAAAGAACAGTGATTAATTTAGATAAGTACCAAATCACAAAGGATTATTGTAATAAATAAATTAAATTTAAGAAGTTGATTCAATTGTAATTTTTGCAATAAATAAAGATACCAACTATCATAATTTTATTTCCTTTTCTGTTTATTAAATATTCTAAATTAAATCTATAAAATAATATTGCCTCTAAAACAGTTTAAAATCACATATTCAATTAGAATTCTAGTAGTAAGAAATTATTATATTAATTTTGAATTGATAGCATTTGAAATCATTGATATGTGAATTTTTTAAAATACTTTAAGTATAACAATATTTCTATCATTCCAATAATTCATCAGATACTCTTATTCCTTTGGTACCTATATTCTAAAGACATTCCTAAAATTCTTTCTTTCTTCAATGAACTAATTATTATACCAGGTTAGCTTTTGTTAAAAAGTTCTTGTGATTGGTTGATCTATATGTTTGTTAAAAGCTTTTGACCGACTTCAAATATTTTAAAATGGGAGGTTTTAAAGAATACATTTCCTTTAGTATTGGAAATGTGAATCCTCAGTTCTTACATTTGATGAGGTGAATTCTTACCTATCCAGTTTATAAGTTGTCTTGTAATTAAGAAAAATCCATCAACAAACTCAGCTCCATATTATCTGTCTATTCTTACTTCATAGATGAATTTTTAGTAATTTATTTTATTTTTTTTATTTCTATAACTCCTATTACATTAAGTTATTCTGTTTGATTAATTCCTTAAGTTTCATTTATATTGTTTCATTCTAGTCTTAGAAATCTAATTAATTTCCAATTGATGTCATTTCTTATATTCAAATTTTTTCCACTTATATTATGAACTTATCTTTTTCCAATTATATTTTTAAGGATTTGATCGGATAGCCAATCCATCAAATTATTAAGAGTAGTGTTTATTTAAGAATTGAATTTTATCATTAATAGAGGTTTGAGCATTTAAATCATCTTTATAATTATTTGAAAAAGAATATAATTTGATTATATAAAGGTCCTTTTTTAATTTACTCTCCTTGAAATTCAAACTCTTTTGTTTAACTTGATCCTCCTTAACTAAATTAAAGGATCAAGTTATTTATTAATTCTCTAATTATGTCATCTTCTAGAGTTCTTGAATCATTGTTGCTGTATCTAATCTTATCCTAATTCTTATGTTACTTGGATTCTTCAATTAACTTACTCAATTAATCCATAAACTTTTACTGTTGGCTTACTAATAGCAAGTTATTAATTCATTCCATAACAGATATACTTCTTTTTGNTAATTTTTGCAATAAATAAAGATACCAACTATCATAATTTTATTTCCTTTTCTGTTTATTAAATATTCTAAATTAAATCTATAAAATAATATTGCCTCTAAAACAGTTTAAAATCACATATTCAATTAGAATTCTAGTAGTAAGAAATTATTATATTAATTTTGAATTGATAGCATTTGAAATCATTGATATGTGAATTTTTTAAAATACTTTAAGTATAACAATATTTCTATCATTCCAATAATTCATCAGATACTCTTATTCCTTTGGTACCTATATTCTAAAGACATTCCTAAAATTCTTTCTTTCTTCAATGAACTAATTATTATACCAGGTTAGCTTTTGTTAAAAAGTTCTTGTGATTGGTTGATCTATATGTTTGTTAAAAGCTTTTGACCGACTTCAAATATTTTAAAATGGGAGGTTTTAAAGAATACATTTCCTTTAGTATTGGAAATGTGAATCCTCAGTTCTTACATTTGATGAGGTGAATTCTTACCTATCCAGTTTATAAGTTGTCTTGTAATTAAGAAAAATCCATCAACAAACTCAGCTCCATATTATCTGTCTATTCTTACTTCATAGATGAATTTTTAGTAATTTATTTTATTTTTTTTATTTCTATAACTCCTATTACATTAAGTTATTCTGTTTGATTAATTCCTTAAGTTTCATTTATATTGTTTCATTCTAGTCTTAGAAATCTAATTAATTTCCAATTGATGTCATTTCTTATATTCAAATTTTTTCCACTTATATTATGAACTTATCTTTTTCCAATTATATTTTTAAGGATTTGATCGGATAGCCAATCCATCAAATTATTAAGAGTAGTGTTTATTTAAGAATTGAATTTTATCATTAATAGAGGTTTGAGCATTTAAATCATCTTTATAATTATTTGAAAAAGAATATAATTTGATTATATAAAGGTCCTTTTTTAATTTACTCTCCTTGAAATTCAAACTCTTTTGTTTAACTTGATCCTCCTTAACTAAATTAAAGGATCAAGTTATTTATTAATTCTCTAATTATGTCATCTTCTAGAGTTCTTGAATCATTGTTGCTGTATCTAATCTTATCCTAATTCTTATGTTACTTGGATTCTTCAATTAACTTACTCAATTAATCCATAAACTTTTACTGTTGGCTTACTAATAGCAAGTTATTAATTCATTCCATAACAGATATACTTCTTTTTGATGCAGAGAAATATGTAGAAACAAATAATCTAGTATATTGGTTTGGAAATACTCCTGTTTCATAAACTTAGTCCATTCTTCCAGAATTTTATAATTCCCATTTAAATTCCATTATTAGTTGATTAATATGAATATTAATGTATTATAATTAGAATTTTAAATTAACTGACTTTCTCATTAACTCTGATTAAAATTAGTAATTAGCAGATTATTATATTTTTCTATTAATTTTAATAATTTCAATTTATTCTAAAACTCAAATTTTTCATTTTTTAATTTATTTAAAAAACCTTGGCTAGTATACTAAGCACCGAAAGCTCTAGTTTCTGCAGTTATAAATTAATTTTTTTAGCAATTCGTTTCATTCCTTAAAGTTAATTATGCTAAATTTAGTGTGGTGAACCTTCCTTTTAGTCCTAGACTAGTGAGGTTTAAATCAACCTCTCTAATTGAGAAGAGGATTTATATAATAGTGAGCTAAAGATCTTTGGCAAACTAGATTCAATTTGTTTAATCTATTGATCTCTATCCAAATATTAAGCAAAATTTTTTTCTAAAATGTTTCCCATTCACCAAATTATGATTTGATATTAGGTATCAAAGACATAGTATCAAGTTTTCTACTCTACAGTTTTTGTTTTTCCTTTTTTATTAGTTGCGTTTTCTTTAGCTTCTAAAATAACCTTAGGCAGTTAAAGGAGAAGAATTTATTGAAAGTCCTGATTCTTCTATAATTCATAATGTTATGTTTAAGTTAAGGCATTCTTCCTCTAGATATATCTGGCTTTCTTTTCATAAATCTATTTTCTCATTCTTTATAACTTATTCTTTCTTCCTTTATGTTGATTAGTTAGACATTTAAATTTTAATAATAAAATTGTATTTAAATAATTGGTTCTACTAGAACTGATCTTATTATTTTTAAGGTTGACTATTAGTAAGTTTTACATAATAGACAATATGTTATCTCGTTGATCATTAATTAAAATAACCAGCATTCTAAACTCTTTATTAATCGATCAATCAAATATTAATATAGAGATCAATCGCCTAGTAATACTGAAGATACTTAATTATCCAAAAATTAATTTATTTTTTTTTTAAATATTTAAATTCTTGTTAAGTTTATAATAAAACGCATGAGTTACAAGATTAGAAAATGTTCACGAATGAAAATCTAAAACAAATATTCAGGTTGAAAACTTATTTGATCTAGTTATCTGAAATAAATTAGTTGATTTTAATATTATTCAGAAAATACTTTCTTATATAAGTAATACACACAATAGGTAAATATTCTTATTTTTCTTAAGTATCTATGAACTTTAGATTGTAGACAATAGAGATGAACAAATTTTGCTATTCTATCTAAAAATCAACTTGGATTTATTCGATATTACTTAATGGATAATATTTATAATATTCATTGATCTTCCTAATTTAATCAAATTAGAATAAAGTATAAATAAACGAGTTTCAAATTATTTTAATCTAAATAATTATCATTGTATAATTATTAAAATTATTCAAAATTAATTTCAATTAAAATTTTTTTGAATTTTTATTTCTTTACAAGTGCAGACGATTACCATTTACTTTTAAATTTATTTTAGTAAACTTCTCACAGAAAACTTTATCTGATCAAGCTGAATTTGATAAGAAGCTCCCTGAATTATTTTTATAATATTTTATCGAATTTTTGTAACTTATAAATTATATATTATTCATAATTCTTTGCATTTTCTAGTTTGTATTTCCTTTGATTTTTAATCCCAAGTGATTAGATATTCACCATCATCACTTAATTAACCAAAAATATAATAATGATCAAATTGAATAGTTTATTCAGTTACAAAATCTCCGTTTTCTTTTTTCCTTATAAAGTTGATATGGTAACCATTCTTATTCACTAAAAGACATTTACATTTTAAGTATTATTATGGAAAAAGACTACCACAACTATTTGAATCAGATTTAACAGTAATTTGCTTGATCTTAACAAATTATTGATTACTACTATTTATCTCATATACATCCATTTATTCTTGACCTTAAGGTTAAAATGTGAATTAATTATCATTTAGAAAACTCAATCGAAATCCAAATTATTCTAATTATATTTTTTAAATCACATTCCATATCTAATGCATCTAAGAATATTCAATCACTAAAATTTATTTATCAGCTGAACAAGATATCAATTTATCTTACTTTACATTTAAACTTAACTAAAAGACATATTCTTTATGATCTTTAATAGTTTATTAACACAACCATCCATTCTATTAATTCCAAAATTTAATAGATGAATCATAACTGCCTGAAATAATAAGATTCTCATTATTATTCAATAATAAACTATCAATAGCATCAGAATGTCCATCCAATTTATGTTAGCATGCCCATTAATTATTCTGATTCATCTACCATATTATAATTGACTTATCTCTACTTCCAGATACAAAATGATTGGATTTTTTCATAAAGTTTAATGTTAACACAAAATCTTAATGATCACTTAAGAGTTATGATTGATTTAATATCCCTTATTTGAGATCAAATACTTTAATTTACTTATCACACCCTGCTATCACAATGGAGTTATCTTTATTAATTGCAATTGCATAACACTATTCTTATTATTTAATAGAATTTTGATTAGTCAGTTCAAAAGTGAATGGTTTTAGATTTGATTTTATGAAATGTAGATTTATTTGCTATTCAAAAACCTATTCTTTGATCTCTAAAGGCTTTAAAATTTATATATTATCTGTTTAGCTCAAACTTGTTTATATTTTTTGGTTTTCCAAAATTTCTTCTACTATTTATTTAATTTATTCTATAGATTATTCGAACTAGTTAAATATAGTTTTCTCCCATTACTCAATTAAACTTAAACATTTAATAATGCTATCGATCTATGAAAGTTCTAATTTAGGTAATTTTACCAAATTAATATTGTTTAAATTAATAAATTTATTTAAAAGACTATCAAGGGCTAATTTACACTCCTAAGCATTTTATTCAACATTCTTGATAATAAGTACTCTTTTACAAACCCAATCATCTAGAAGCTCAACTGATATTAACTTGTTCAAGTGTTGACCATGACTAGCCAAACAAAAATTACAATAAGGTCTTTACTATTGGCATTTATTATCAATGCAAACTCCAATTATTTGTTAATTTTAATGATCAGCCTAATTACATCTCATTAACATTTTCCTTTTAGATTAAGAATAATATTTAATAAATCAAAAATATTTTGTGATTAAGAACCTCAAAATTAAATATATTAATTATAAACTATTTTTAGAAGCAAAACAAAAGGAGCCTTTAACAAACATTGAATGATTAGTTTAATTACTACATCACCAAATATTGGATTTTATCATTGGTATTTTGAAATGAAAAATATGAATCTCTTTTATTTTCAATAGCAATATTGACATGAATTAACAAAAAATTTATTATTTTTTTCTTTTAAAATGTCCAGGATTACATAAGAGTATTTTGCTCGTTTTATTTTAAATAGGATATATTAATAAATTGGAAATAAAAATATTATTGATTGTAGAAAAACAATGCATTTTTGTTTAGTTTTACCACCTAATTATTACAATAGTATTGTTACTTCCTCATTTTCAGTGAATATTGATTTGGACTACTTTAAACAAAGTTTTAAGTATAAAACCCTTAAATGATTGATGAGATATTTTATCAGTCATAATATCTTATCAAATAATTAATAAAAGCTGTCCAACAATTAGACTAAATATTATAATGATGTATTTCAACATCTTAAAGGATCTAGAAATGATTAGAAAAATGAATATTATTATACATTTAGGTTAAATGGAAAATCACAGGGGGTTTATGATTAATAGAGTATCACCAAAAAATAAATTCTTTGGCTGCAATTTTCAAATACTTATAAATGACTCGACATGATAATTAAATTATATTAAGGATTTAGGAGAATATTTTAAGTAGCTTTATTCGAATTACTCATGAGTATATAAATGGAAGATTAAAAAGTATTGGTAATTTTTCCTTTCTTTCATGTTAAATTGTAAATGATCAGATTAAAATCAAGGTTGAATCTTAAAAGTAACCATTGTATTGATAAAATTAGAGATAATTGCTCGAACCATAAGTTCGAAGACTCCGATTGGGAAATTTTATTTCCCAATTATAAAAGCTTCTAATCTACTAATAATCAGTTAATTATCAATAATAGTATTCCTATTATCTTTTTTAAATTTCAAATTAATAACAAATTCAATATAGCTACTAATACAATGATCATTAATTGCTCTAAAATACCTTTTTCTAAATTGAGCATCCAAAAAATATTGATTTTGAGAATGGTTTATATTTTCCTTAACTTTTCAGAGAAAATCATCTTAAGCAATTTTGATGACTTTCCTTTTAAATTTTAGAAGTTTTAAAATTACTGCATAATTTAATAATGAAAATATATTCTATAATTTACAACATCAAACACAAAGATAGTATGATAATAATCAAAAATATTAATTTTTCAATTCATATATAATTAAAAGGTCCAAAAGTTAATTAATTTTCTATTTGTTATTTTGGATAACAAGAACAGAAATTTATCAAAGTTGCCTATCCAATGATGAAATATATTAGATGCAGGAATATTAGTTTATCATAATTTTCAAAATTTACTATTGATTAAATATTAATGATCTAGATTATTATTGAAATTATTGAGGCCCCCTATATTCTCTTTCTGAAGGAATAAGAACTATAAATGAAAACCTTAATAATTTAGAGAATCGATTACAACAAGAAAATGTAATTTCAAATGTAGATTTAAAATATAAGGCTGACATTCACTTGTAATTTAATTCGTATCATATATTTTGTCGTACTTATTCTATAATATAATATAATTATAGATGGCTTCCAAAATTATAATAAATTGTATATATAAAATTAGATATTTTTTTATTTGCATCAAATCATTTCTATTGATAAATACTTTTTTTATCATGTTTTCATAATCAATTAAATTTTTTAATATATGTGGTTTGTAATTACATAATCATTTTATTAAATAAATTTAATAAATGAGTTAATAGAAATTGTTTATGTGTTAACATATAGAACATGAAGGTGAAGATATATAAGGTTTCTGTTTAAACTTGAGTTGCTAAGATTTAAGATCTTAGTTCTGTCTTCAATGTGCAATTGATCCTATGAAACATACCAATTGTAAGAAAGACTTAAAAGGATTTGGTTAAGTTTAAAGTTTTGTCACTAAATTCAATTAATATATATGTGAATTAACAAATTAATTGAATGAATCATTTGGATAAGTCAAAATAAAATATGAAGAATCTTCAAAATAATTGGAAAACATGAAAAAATAATTATTTAACTATCTGAATATTTAAGTTAATAAGATTATCAATAAATGAAGGATAATTTACAGTTGATTAAGGAGTGGTATTAATATTAGAATAATAAAGAGAAGATTTCTGACATGAATTTAATAGGTATTAGTGAAATTCATATTTATAGGAAATTCACTAGAAAATATTAAAAGAATGATACATACTTTTGATTTAGACAAAAAATTTTAGCAACAAATACCAATTATTGAATAAGGAAATTAAAGCTTACTTTAATAAGGTATTCTATTTACTTAAATTTTATATAGGAATACAATTACTAAATTAGTATAAATTATAGGAGGCTTAAGATCTAATGTCCTAATATTTAAAATAATTGGAAAAAAAAATATCATTTGTCAAATTCTTTTAATGTATATTTAGTAATATTTAGGTGTTTCTTTAATTGAACTGAATCAGCCAGGGATAGGCATAATAATGAGAGATTAGGCTAAAGAGATTAATGATAACTTATATGTAGATCTATTAAATTATTCAGAATCAGAATTAAAGATGAATTAAACTAATGTAGTGATGTTAATTGCAAAAAGTAAATATATAATTATTCTTTAAAGTTATGCATTAACTGATGCTAAGAAATACGAAGAAGCTATTGAATAATGTGAAAAAGTAATCACTAAATAACCACAATTCCTCCATGCTTATTATAGAAAAAGTAATCATGCTTATTAAACAAAAGGCTATTCTTTACAACTTTAGAATTAAAATGAATAAGCCATATAGTGCACTCAAATTCAATCCAAAATTTTGTATGGCATATTTCTAAAAAGGTAACTAAATTTTTACATTCTAAGGGTATATGCTATTATAAGAATTAGAATAACAATTATACAGTAAAAAAGTAACCATTAAGATGCAATTATTTGTTATGATAATGCAATTTTATTAGATCCTAATTTCTCTATGGCTTATAATAACAAAGGTGTGTTTTTTTTGTTAAATTAATAGGTATTTCATTATTGAATTTATAATTATATAACGATGCAATATTTTGCTATGATAAAGCAATTTAATTAGACCGCAATTTTGCTTTGGCATATAATAATAAGGGTATATTATTGATTTAATAGTAGGTATTTCATTACTTAATTAAAAAAAATATAGTGATGCTATAGTTTGTTTTGATAAAGCAATTTAATTGGAACCTAATTTTTCAATGGCATATAATAATAAAGGTTAATTATTTATTTTTATTGAATAGGCAATTCTTTAAATGATTTAAAGAAGTATAGTGATGCAATTGAATGCTTTGATAATGCAATCTTATTAGATTCGAAT